GACAGAGAACATGTACCTGAGGGACACACTGGGCAAGGAACGAAGGAGGTGACATTACACAAACCTGGCTTCACAGATGAGCAGTGGGCAACATTTATCAAATTAATTGAAAACTGTAAGACTTCTTCGACGGGAGACAAGCTTTCAGGTATGCAGACTCTTAACCTTTGGCTTCTTGATTCCGGGGCCTCCTATCACATGACCGGTAATAGAGATGCTTTGTTTGAATTGACGAGGATAACACCGGTGGGAGTGACTCTGCCGAATGGTAACCTTACTGAGGCAACGCATGTAGGCAGCGCTGAAATTGGTGGAAGCTTGCATTTGACGAACGTTTTATTCGTTCCTGGATTGAAATGCAATTTAATTTCGTTGGGGCAGTTAATTGATAAACGAAAATGTGATATATTTTTTACTAATGATTTATGTGTAATACAGGACCTACTTACGAGGATGCCGATTGGAGTGGGTGAACGACGAGGTGGAGTTTATTATTTCCGGGGTCTGAACCAAGCGCAGGCAAATGCAGTGGGTGGCATGGACTCAGGCATATTGTGGCACTCTAGGTTGGGACATCCGTCAATAAAGATAATGCGTATGCTAGGTTGTTTGAATAATTCGTTGTTGCATTCAGTTCAAAATAAAACGTGTGATGCTTGTATGAGAGGCAAGCAAACACGAGATAGTTTTATTATTAATAGTGCTAGAGCTATTGAACCTTTTGAGTTAATACACTGTGATATTTGGGGTCCGTACCGTGTTATTTCATCTTGTGGTGCTCGTTATTTCCTGACAGTGGTAGATGATTTTTCTAGGGCAGTGTGGGTTCATCTAATGAAAGATAAGGGTGAAGTGAAGAATATTCTCAAACAATTTTTTGCCATGACTAATAGACAATTTAACAAAAGTGTGAAAATAGTGAGAAGCGACAATGGCAAAGAGTTCGTCGGTCTCCAGGAATATTTTGTGAATAATGGGATAATTTTTCAGACTTCTTGCATTTACACCCCTCAACAGAACGGACGGGTAGAACGTAAACATAGGCATATCTTGGAAATGGCCAGAACATTACGTTTTCATGCAAACTTGCCTATTGATTTTTGGGGGGAATGTGTGCTGACGGCGGGATATTTAATCAACCGGTTACCCACACCGGTGATTGGAAATAAAAGTCCATATGAGCTGCTTTATAATAAATTGCCTATATATAGTCAGCTCCGAGTCTTTGGGTGTCTTTGTTATGCACATGCTCCAAGCACCGGGGGAGATAAATTTGCGGCACGTGGAGTGAAATGTGTCTTTTTGGGATATGCATATTCTCAAAAAGGATGGAAGGTGTATGATTTGCAAACAAGAAGGCACTTTGTGTCGCGAGATGTGAAATTCATTGAGAATGAATTCCCTTTCAAGTTGGAAAATGATGATGGGGATTTTGACCGAGTCAGGTGTCCCGACTTACCTGCCTGGGATGCTGACATACGGGATGATGGAGTAGGTGACGTGGGAAGTACTTCTGATGACTCCGACACGTGTAACTCAGCAGGACAGATGGCCAATGGTGAAGCCGAGCTTCCTTTGACTGGGACGACGGACGAAGCGAACGAAGAAGCCCTGCATGGTGAAACACATGTGATCTCTCAAAGCCAGAATCGGAGAAGTGATCGTCCACGTAGAGCACCAGCTTGGCATAAGGATTACGATGTGCAACTGAACACGGTTAAAATAAACTCTCACCCCGTCGCTGCCTCTACTCCCACGGCAGAATCAGGTACTCCGTATTCACTAACTCATTATGTAAAATATAATCAGTTTTCTGTTTCGCACCGAGCTTTCCTTGCAGCTATTTCCATGACGAAGGAACCTTCTACTTTTGCCGAAGCTGTCCGTGATCCACAATGGCGGGACGCAATGAGCCGAGAGATTCAAGCACTGGAGCGTACTGGGACGTGGAAAATTCAAGATTTGCCCCCGGGAAAGAGAGCCATTTATTGCAAATGGGTCTATAAAATCAAGTACAAAAGCGACGGATCCGTTGACCGCTTCAAGGCACGCCTTGTTGTCTGTGGAAATAGACAGGTACAGGGAATTGATTATAGTGAGACGTTTGCTCCGGTTGCAAAAATGGTGACTGTTCGCACTATTTTGGCTGTCGCGGCGTCTCGTCATTGGAAGCTCCACCAGATGGATGTGGATAATGCCTTTCTTCATGGCGATCTCCAAGAGGAGGTATACATGCATCTTCCGCAAGGCTATTCTACATCTGCTCCTGGAAAGGTGTGCCGCTTACTACGATCTCTTTATGGACTGCGCCAGGCCCCACGATGCTGGTTCTCTAAACTCACTGAATCTTTGCGGAGTTATGGGTTTATCCAATCGCATGCGGATTATTCATTATTCACCATGCGCACGGGACACAAAATCCTGTGTGTGCTCATCTATGTCGATGACCTATTGATTACAGGAAACGATCATGACATGATCGAGCAATTTAAAGTCTATCTGAGAGCCATGTTTCCAATCAAAGATTTGGGTGTCATGAAATATTTTCTTGGTATTGAAGTTGCCCGGAATCCCACGGGCATATTTCTGTGTCAACGAAAATACGTGCTGGATATTTTGTCTGAGACAGGGATGACAGGGTGTAAACCGGTGACTTTTCCTATGGTGCAAAACCATCACTTGCAGTCGGATGACGGTCCTTCTTTCCCTGATCCCGAACGTTATAGAAGACTGGTTGGTAAACTCATTTACTTGACTCTGACTAGGCCGGACATTAGCTACTCTGTACACATACTCTCCCAATTCATGCAAAATCCGAGACAGGCCCATTGGGAGGCGCTGATTCGAGTACTCAAATACATCAAAGGGAGGCCTGGCCAGGGAATTTTGCTTCGCTCAGATTCGACGCTTTCACTCACCGGTTATTGTGACGCTGATTGGGCAAGCTGCCCGGTCACTCGACGCTCCGTCACAGGTTATTTTGTCTCTCTGGGCTCTTCACCGGTGTCTTGGAAAACCAAGAAGCAAATCACTGTTTCTCGGTCCTCTGCTGAAGCAGAATACCGGTCTATGGCCACTCTGACCTGCGAACTCATCTGGCTACGCAACCTAGCCGAGACCTCTTTGGTTAAAAGAGAGAATAGATACTGAAAATATTCACCTTATTCTTTCCAGATTTTACAAATTAAAGACGCCAAGCTCAACCTACTACGACACTCGAGTTCGAGGGAGAAAATTCCAGGTTGGCGACTACGTGCTCAGACGAAGGATTGGAGACTGAAGTCCCATACATAATTACTATCGTGGTTCAACCTGGAACCTACAAGCTCCGCACCTTACATGGGCGGACATTCCTAGATTGTGGAATGTCCATCGAGGTACTATCAATGACTCAAATACTGCAGAGGAGACATATAGCTATGGAGGACATGATTTTATTCGCACTGGAAATTCGGAGTCACTCGTAGGAACCTCGTATACATGTAAGCAATTTTGGCCTTCACATTCAATAATGAAAAACCTTGCGGGCTGCCAGAAAAAAAATACGTAGTATATGGAAATTTCCGTTAGTGCTCCGGCGGCAGCGGCCGAAGGCCGGACGTCCAGCAGCAGGTGGCAAGCGGTGGCCCGACAACTCCTGTGGCAATAGTGGTAAAGTCTATGTGGGTATTTTGTTCCCATAACAAATAAAAAGTTCTATTTAAGAATGTTTAAACTGGGCTAGGTGGCTTTTTTTGGGAAAAAAAACTAGGGAAACAGTACAAATATATCCCTGTAGTATGTTTGTGAGAACAAATAATATACTCATGTTCTATTTTTCAGAACAAATATACCCCTGAAGTATGTTTAGAAGTACATATATACCCCTGAACTTTTAAAAATTGCAAAAAAAAAACCCTCATGTTCTTATAAAGTAGCAAATTTACTCTTATATAGATAATATAAATTTAAAAAAAAAACAAAAACAAATTTTAAATTCAAAATTTAAAAATAAAAATTTATTATCATGTTAAAATATTAACTATTTAATTTTAAATTGCAAAGTTATTATTTTTCTGTTGTAAATGAAGCACTTTAAATTCATTAATTTTAATTTTAGTCTTATTATGGAATTTTGAACACATTGTTACATTTTCTGAAATAACATTCTTTGATTTTGTTTAACCTTAATAAAATTAAATTCATTATTTTCTAATCTTGGACTATTTATGATCATTCAAAATATGTAATTTTATAGTGTGTAGAATGCAAAAAATTAATATATTTTTACATTGCAGCATATTTGTTTTTAATTTTATTTATTTATTTTGAAATAATCTTAAATATATAATAACGTTTTGAAATAATATTTTATACTAGCAATAATAAATTGTGATATACAAAAAATAAAAGGGGGAACTGGACATAATTAAGTACATTTTAAATTTTTTTATTTTTAATTTTGAATTTATTATTTATGTTTGGTGTTTTTGAAATTTATTTTATCAATTTAAAGTCAATAAGGGTAAATGTTCTCTTTTATATGAATACGAGGGGTATTATTGCACATTTTTAAAGTTCAGGGTATAAATGTACTTTCACACATACTTCAGGGGTATATTTGTTCTGAAAAATAGAACAAAGTTATATTCGTTCTCACACTCATACGACAGGGGTATATGTTACTCCGTATTAATTACCCCCTCCGTTTTTTTTTTTGCTACACTTTTCTCTTTTGGATGTGTTCGAAAATTTTCTACACTTTCCCCTTTTTGGTAAGTTTTTCCTTTAAAAATACTCAACAAACCTTACATTTTCTACTTTTTATCTTCTCTTTCATACTTTTCCATCATTTTTCCTACTTTTTCTACACTATTAATTACTCCTACTATTTCACTCCTAAAAAATGTGTCAAAAACACCTATAGTTACAAACAAAAAATAAGGAGGGAGTATTAGGAGTATTAATTACAAGGAAGGAGAAAAATGAATTATCACAAATATATTCAGCGTACGACTTACTCTTTTTAGCTTTCTTCAGTTTTTCATGTTTGTGAATTTGCGCTCCATCATCGTCTTCATTCCGTCCTTGGCCATGTTGTTCTTCTACGTCAACTTCCAATTCCACAAAGAATTAGGAGTAAATTAAATATAATTTATTTCCTTAAGAATAAAACTAATAATTGTGTTTTGTAACAAATCCTACTTTTTTCAGCTGGGTATGCTGACTTTTTAATCACAAATATTTAGAATAAAAACTAAAAAGTTCTATTTTTAAACTTTGTTCATCTATTTTAGTGTAAAATTCAACGTGTTACTTTTTTATTAAAGAACGGAAGGAGATTAGTGTACTTACTATGGTTGTTCGCTTCTGTCTGGACATGAAAATCTTTCTCGCAACAAGTAGGATCGAACATATTGACCTTAAAAAGCAACCGGCGGCGGCGGCCGATATCTTTGAAAACCAGAAAGTCTCCGGCAACGAGGCGGTGGTGGTCGACAAACTCATCCCATCCACGCTTGAAACAGAGGCAGTTGCCCCCTTCTTTGCATTTTCGGATTTCCACTAGGAACCTCCCCTTTCTGCTGATTAGTGTTGCTTTTTTAGCCCTTTTTCGAAGCATTAGCTCCTGAGATATAGCTGGGGGAAGTACCTATACACCCACCATTCATGTAAAGTGGCGGAGCCATAATTGTATAGTTAGCGGATCCGGGAATCATATCCCGTCTGGCCAATCCTGTTTGAGCGGCTTTTTTACGAAATTTTTCGATGAAATTGTTTGAGTATATTTTTCATCTAGGGTATATTATCTCTACAAAATTTCAACTAAAAATTAATTGGGAAGTCAGTTAAATAAATTATTAAAATAAATGTCACTTTAAATTTCAATAATTTATTTAGTCGACATCCCGATTGAACTTTTGTCTACATACTCCACACTTAATGAAGAATATGTTCAAAATTTCATTAAAAAATCCTACAAGAAGCCCCCGGCCGCGACTGAGTAGATCTATTTCCCTGTCAGCCGCGACTGATCTATTCTTTATAAATATTTGAACATATATATCTACATTTTTGTAAACTCAGTTTGTAATAATTTTACTGCAAATTCAAAGCAATTGAAGAGAGATCAAAAAAGGAGCAAAGAGTGGGAAATAACATACGAGTCTACAGCGAAAGCCAGGCATCAAGACCTTGAAGAATCTGGGAAGGCTGCTTTCCATTGATCTGTTACATTAACAAAAACGCAAATAATATTACCATATATCTCTCCTTATCCATACGTTACGTATATTGTATATATACTACAAACATATATACTCACGCATCCATTATATAACAACTTTAATTTTTTCATAAGTATTATTTATATACGGAGTAATACACAACAGAAGATAGCTTAAACTAAAGAAATTTAGTTAACTACTACGTACCAATATAGAACTGATGGTAATTTGTATAGTCTACTAGCTTCTATGTATCCACCGAACTTACAAATTATGTGTGATCGAAAAGATCAGAACATTGCATTTATAATGCACTTATGTCCTTACATATTCCCATGTCTTTCTAAATCTCCTGTCTAAGATTGGGACAAAAAGAGGTGGTGCGGTTTTTAAGAAAAGTAAAGTTATGTGATTGATATTAAATTGACTATATGTCATTAAAAGAAGAAGTATGATAGAGACAAGAAGAGGTGGTGCGATTATTAAGAAAAATAAAATTATGTTATTGATAAGATTTCATGATTAGAATCCCACAAGGCCAAAAATATATTTATTTGTCATCTATAAAGCCTTTAGGTAAAACATGGTTAGTGTTTTAGTAAGTATTGTAGAACATTACTCCGTACTTTGTTTATGTAATAATATAATGTATATTTATGTGTATAATTACATAACTGCGCTTATATTGAATGGTTCTGAAACTTAACATTTTGAGATACTCGACACTTTTGTACTGAGATGATTTGGAAAATACTACGTATATGTATATTTTGGGAAAATAAAAAGGTGTATTAAAGATGAGTATAGTGGATGGATAATGAAACATACAATAAATAATATTACTCCTACATATATAATGCGGAGTAAAAAGGGCCACCAGAGAGATTACAGATGTTTTCTTTTGAACTGAAACTTGCTGGTCTGGTCTGATCTGATCTGGTCTGGTCTGAACTAGTCTGGTCTGGTAAACGTATGGTCTCTGTGTATTTTATAACTACGGAAGTCTGGTCTGGTCTGGTCTGGTCTGAGACTGAAAACAGTCCAAAAGAAAACATCCTATATACTAATAATCCACTTTTAAATTTGGACTTCCAAACCCAAACCTCCACATTAACCTTTGTTGTTTTAGGCTAGGTTTGACATGTACAACGAAATGGATTCATGGAACCGGAAACTAATGTCTGAATTAGGAGTTATTATCTGGATCAGATACTATTGTCTGTAGATGAAATTTGAAGCGTTGAATCTGAATTACAAGCTGAATGGAGTAAACATGTTTGATAAAAAGAGCTGAAAAAGTGACCGGATAATATGAAATTATATTAAACGGCATATGATTGTATTTATTAAATAAATATTACTTCATAAGATTTTATTATACATATTATTTAGGGAAAACTGTCAAATAAGCCCACCTACTCTATACGGTAAGTCAATTAGACCCATGTACTCCAACATCGATCATTTAAGCCCACGAAGTCACAAAAACCGACCAATTGGCCTTTTTTGGAGGTCACGAACCGGTAAGCCTGTGAAAAGCCTACTTGGCTTCTTACGTGGATTTTTTTTAAAGCTGGCAGAGTAATCCACCTGGATTATTTGTATACATACTTTCACCCCTTCCATTCCTTAACGTTGAAAATTTCTGTACCCTAATGTTGAAATCTCGCGAATGAAGACGCAGTTGACCTCATCGTTGAAGGGTTTGCTGGTGGTCATTGACTTACTGGACGCCATTGACAAGTGAACCGCAACCAATATCCATTTGAGCAGTTCGAATAACTACTGTCAGGTAAGTGTGAATGGGATTTTTGTATTACGAAGAGTGTTTGAGCGTTGGTTATTTAAGAGTGTTTGTGTGTGCATCGTTGGTGTAATAACAATCAATATCCATTTAGTTGTTTATGCTTTAGCACTTGGTAGCCGTTTCAGTGGTGTGTGTAATAAATTAATTTCTTTTGCTATACACTGATGTGTGCTTTTGTGTACAGCATGTTTGAATTTGTGGAGCTTGTAATTCACCATGGAGGGAACTTTGTGAGTAGTCCTCATTCCATGTACGTAGGTGGTGCAGTGGATATCATCAAGGTGGATCCGGATTTCATTAGCTTCCCTCATTTGATGAAGTCCTTACAATCAGGAACACATGGCAATATAAGTGAACTGTTTTTCAAAAGACCTGAAGAACCAATGGAGTTGCTACGTCCCTTGTTCAATGATGAATCCACCCTACATCTAATTGAAATGGCTAGCAGGTGTGGAAAGTGTGAGATTTATGCGCACCATGGTCTGGATGAGCCTGAAATCCTTGAAATCCCTGTTTTACCTGTGCCAGGTGCAGATGAGGGTGATGCAAATGTTCATGGTGATGGTAATGATAATATTGAAACTGAAAGTGATGGAGATGGTGAAGCATCCGAGGAAGAAACTGAAGATACTATACAAGATGATGGTGAAGACAAAGAACATCAAGATAGGCATGGCCATGAACAGAACACACATAATGAAACTTCAGAAGATGAAGACAGTGTTGAATATGACTCATCCAATCCACCAAGCTACAATGGTGATTTACAAAGTGAGGAAGGGACTCCAAAAGTGTTTCATTCGTACAACCCTGATTGTGAACCTCCTAACATAGAGGTGGGCATGTATTTTGAAGATGGTGCACAATTCAAGAGTGCTCTTGTTAGATATGCTGTGCACGAGAAAAGGGATATTAAATTTGCAAAAAATGAGCCTTTAAGAGTGCAGTACAAATGTGCCCCTACATGTTCTTTTGCATGCACTGGCAGTTGGGAAGAGAGGCTGAAATGCTTCCAAGTGAAGGTGTTGGATCTAGGGCACAAATGTAATTTGAAGTATAGGTTAGGCATTGTGAGCCAGAAATGGATTGCTGAAAGGATTGAAGACAAGGTTGTTGAGGACCCTACTATGACTGCATTGGAGTTCAAGAAACTAATTAAAGCTGAGCTGAAAATACATGTCTCAACAAGTATGGCGACTAGGGCTTTGAGGGATATTCATAAGAAAACTGAAACAGATTGGAAGGACCAATTCAAAAAAATTAGGAACTATGGTGAGGAATGCCTAAAGTCTATTCCAGATAGCACAGTGGTGATTCATACTACAAGAGTAGTTCCTCAAGCTCCTGCTGTATTTCAACGCATATATGTGTGCTTTGGACCTGTTAAAAGAGGTTTTCTTGAAGGCTGTAGAAAGGTTATAGGCCTAGATGGGTGCTTTCTTAAAGGACTACTAAAGGGGGAGATCTTAACAGCAGTTGGTAGAGATGGAAATAATCAGATGTACCCCATCGCTTGGGCGGTAGTGGAGATCGAAAACACCTCTTCTTGGACCTGGTTTTTAGACCTTCTGAAGACAGATCTGCACATAAGCAGGCCAGATTTATGGACTATAATTAGTGACCAACAAAAGGTAATTCACTAAAATTCTGAAGTTCTGTTATTAATTCTGTTTTCCATCTACATTTGTGATACTTTCAAATTAAAGTTAAATTTGTTACTTCTTAATTTGATCTGCCTGCTTATTAAAGTTCTTAAGTACTCTAAATTTGATCTACCAAGTTATTAAAGTTCTTAGGTACTCTTTTTCAGACTTTATAACTTCAAAAGAAATGTTTAATTTGAACAACTTTCATACTTTAGATTAGGATGAAGTCTGAATACATTTGGATGACTGTATAACTTTCACAGTTTATTCCCAGATCCCATTAATATGCAGAACTTCCATTTATGTTAAGGGCCTATATTAAGACTTCATTGCATTAGTATCATTTTATATTTAAATAACAAAAAATTGCTTAACAATAGCAAGTACATTGAAATAATTGCAAAATATGTTGTAACTTGCTTATCATTTCATTTTGAAATAACCTGACTGCAAAACTTATAAACGACAAGTATGCTTATGAAATCAATTTGGTTAAGCTTATTAAAATATTCTTACTGCAGGGTCTTTCTAATGTCATAGCAAGTGTATTCCTGGGGGCTGAGCACAGGAATTGTGCCAGACATATCCATGCAAATTGGAGCAAAACTCATAGGGGCATGCTTCTTAAAAAGCTATTCTGGATGTGTGCAAAGTCCACCTATGAAGAACAACTGCAGGCTTCATTATCAGAGTTAGATAAAGCAGACATCGAGGCTGGTAGGGACCTGCGTAAACATCCTTTCAAGCTATGGTGCAAGGCTTATTTTAGGCCTGAGGTGAAATGTGACACTGTGGAGAACAACTTATCAGAGGCGTTTAATAGCACCCTTTTGAAATGCAGAGCAAAACCGCTTATTCCCATGTTAGAGCACATGAGAGTTGCAATGATGAAAAGGATTGCCAAAAAAAGGAAGTATGTGCAGAAGTGGTCAGGTATAACATGTACTACATTCACTTACCAAAACTATACTTGAAATGACTTCAGAATAATTACAATACAATTATGCAGGACAATTTGGACCTATTATTATGCAAAAATTAAACAAAAGCATCTTAGCTAGCCAAGGGTGGAATGTTGATTTCAATGGGGATGATGGGTATGAGATAAAAAAAGGAAGGCACCAGTTTAAAGTCAGTCTAAAAGCAAAAACATGTTCATGTAGAAGGTGGGATTTGTCTGGAATACCTTGTGCGCATGCCATTTGTGCTATATTTGACAATGGCCAGGATCCTGAACAATATGTGGATAAGTGCTATTCGAAAGAGTTATACCAGAAAACTTATGCATACACTCTTCCACCTATCAATGGAGAGCTGTTATGGACACGTACTGAGCATGAAGAAATCTTGCCTCCAAAGCATAAGAAGATGAGTGGAAGGCCAAAGAAGAAGAGGATCCGGGAAGCTAATGAAGTGCCCTCATCTGGTACTCAACTTTCCAGAAAAGGTAGGATTATGAAATGCTCCATATGTGCAGGGGAAGGACACAACAAGTCTTCTTGTCCCAACAAGAACACAACTACCTCAACTGAGGCTGGATCTACTCAAGGAGTGTCCAGTGGTGTAGAGGGGGAAACTGAAGGTCCTGCTGCAAGAGGACAAAGAGGACATGGCCAAGGTCAAGGTAAAGGGAAAACACAAAGGGGAAGGAGAGGCTCAAGGGGTGGAGGGAAAGCACAAAGGGGAAGTGTACAAAGAGGTTTTGGTGTCTATTTTGATGAGAACACTGGTGAAACCCTCATTGATGTAAGTTAAGAACCTCCATACTGCAATTCACATTTAACATTAGGTGTTATTATACAATGATAATAACATTTAGTACTGATAATACTCTTTCATGGTAATACAATGATTATAGAAATTAATATTTTTTTTACCCCTTTGCAGCCTGGACAACCGAGTGAAAGAGTGCTTAACTGAGATGCAGTTGGAAGAAGGAAGTGAGATGTTGAACATGTAGCATGGAAGAGAAATGTGGTCTGTGTAATGATATGGTTAGGTGTGAATTTGTGGTTGTTTTGGTGGATAACTTTTGTATGGTTGGTGGTAGCCTTTAAAGCCATTTGGTTGTATGAATGACTGCAATGCTTTTGCCTTTTTGTTGTTGTTGATGTTGGCTGTAAAGTAAGGGGAATCTGTGGGGCTGAAATTTGGCCTTGGTGTGGCCCGGATGTAATGCTTTAAACATTTGAAAGCTGTCAAAACTTTTGGGATGTACTGTGCTCACTTGACCTTTAATATAAACTACTTTTTGGTCCTTTCAAAGTGTATTCAATTATGTTTCCTGCTTGGTGAGTCATTTTGCATCCAAGTATGAAGTTCCAATTTTATACAGAATGTATGATTTCAGTCTAAAAGACTTAAACCTCATGGGTCTGTATGGGTCTCATGAAATGCTATGGAAAGAGGAAACAAAGCTGTGTTATTTCCTTAAACTCTTGTCTTTGGTTTTACCACACAAAATGACAAATGTATAAATGATTAAGTTTTGCATCCAACTATTAACATCCAAGTATTATACAGAACATCACATTTACTTTTACCTAAATGATTTAGTTTTACAAATACTTAAAGTAGAACAATTTTGAATCCAACTATTAACATCCAACTATATAATGTCCTTTTCCCGTTTACACAACTATTCAATTATTGAAGTAGATTCCAAATGCATTATATAAGAACAATGTTGACACTCAGAGCAATTGTAAAGACAAGTAGATAGGAAGAATTTTTCACTCTCTCCTAAGCCTTAAAGTTATGGTATTAAAGAGAAGTTGTGGTCAAATTTTGCACAAATCAATTCATTTTAAATGTTAAAATTCAGAGCTAGGTGAAAATTACTTCTGCAACTACATTCAGAGTAGTGTTAAGCGTGCACAATTACACAGGTAAAAATAAATTCTAATGCCATCACTTTAAACTCAATTGAATAAATATGTCCCAACAAGGATCATGTTAACATTACCTCTGCAAATGAAAGCAGACTACAAACAACATCACTTGCTCAAATACTTCTAAATTCCTAGTACATGTACCTACTCTTGTTGACATTCATATACAGAATACCAAGAAAACAAACAACTACAATGAACACTAAACCACACATCTGCCTAAATCTTTTGTTATCTTGTGCTTCTTTTTCAACAACCTTTACAACACATCCAAGTTTTTCTTCAACAGCACATATGTGTTCAGCAATCCCAGAAACCAAGGCCTTCATATCATCTGTATTCGTCTTCATCAATGTACCAACAAGTGGCGCTTTTCTTTCAGCCGAATCTGAATCCTTCCACATGAAAAAACCACAACCAGCACCCTGAAATTCAGAAGAACATGGAGACAGTTTCATTATTTTTTATGGAAAACAAAATATAACAAATTTAACACAATACGTAATTACTTACCAGCCAATTTTGACACCCATAAAAACTTCTCCCGCTTCCCCGTCCAACACATAGAGGGGATTTCAATCCACAATGGCAGTACACAGCCGGATGGTAGTCTAAGGTACAGCTTTGCCCTTTGCTGGGAGTAGATTCAGATGCACTCGACATTCCTAAGGGAAAGCTCACACGGCCAGATGACGGACGACGAATCTGAGGAGATAAGGGTGGTCGAAAATTAATAAGATTAGGTCGTAGATAAGGGTGAGGAGGACTACAGATTAATAATCTAGGTGGATTACTCTGCCAGCTTTAAAAAAAAATCCACGTAAGAAGCCAAGTAGGCTTTTCACAGGCTTACCGGTTGGTGACCTCCAAAAAAGGCCAATTGGTCAGTTTTTGTGACTTCATGGGCTTAAATGATCGATGTTGGAGTACATGGGTCTAATTGACTTACCGTACAGAGTAGGTGGGCTTATTTGACAGTTTTCCCTATTATTTATGTATATATGTATTCCATTGTGTGTGTGTATATTGCATATTTGCATATACTTTTTGAATGAAGAAATTATACCTCTTCATTGAAATAGAGTGTTGATCTTTATTTATTACATAATGATACTCCGTAATTAAATTACATAATGAAATATTGTGCTCTTGACTCTTCTAATTAGCAAAAGCATCGACCGATCGACCCAAGCAAAAGAGTGGAGAATCAACACTACGAGTGGCAACGCACGGTTTTGGGAAGATTGAACAGCCGTTCCCCATCTTCCAAACTCGGTGGAATTCTGCAAGATTGATAGAGCGGTGAAGATGATCGGCGAAAGAAAGAAGCTAGAGGATAATATGGGAACTTACTTAAATTATACTCCACAATAAACTGATCGAAAATGCGAGACCGAGCAGCTCTTTTGTCAAACAAGATTAATTATTATTAAAATAATTGACTTAATTTAAAATAGAGAAAATTGTCAATTTGGTCCTCGTACTATCACGGAAAAGTCAATTAGGTTCTCATATATTTAAAAAAAACAATCAAATCCCTAAATTTTGAAAAAACTTTCAATTGAGTCAATTAACCATTTTTTACCTTCACTCTGAACCCTCCCTTCGTAGCTCTGAGCCAGGGTCCAAACAATCTAGCACTCCCCTCCAAGCTGATCCGCATCTTCCGGGGACAAAAGTTCTCCACATGCCCAATTATTCCTCAAAGAAAACAAAAGCCAGGCAATTTTTCAAAGCGGAAAGAAACACAATAGTTGTTACCCTCTTCCGTTTCCAAAAAAAAGTTTTTTTTTTCAAAGGTTTGTCACTATCAATGGTGGCCTGAATGGCTGAATGTGCATAAAAGGATTTCACTTTTCATTAAAATTGTGTTCATCCATCCTCACAAATTTTCCAACAAAATTACCTATTCTTTCAGCATTTTTTAGAGAGAAATAGTCAAGCGTAATTCCATAAACCTGTATCCAGAAATCTGTCTTGTTCAAAGCCACAGTCAACGGTAAATCACCTACTTCAAGCTTTTTTAGGACAACCAGATTATGATCAAATAGCCACGGCTATTCTAATGCCACTTTAAGCATGTCACACTCATGATAAAATTTAAACACATAACGCCTAGTTCCAATATCTATCATGCTAAATCCCTTAACGGGTTTCCAAACTGACGCCATAGTGTCTCTAAATATAGAGAAACGTACCAGTTTCTCCGATGTGATTGTGCCAATTAAAGACAAGGTTGCACCGCTTACCCCTTAATTCACCGCTTCCACCAAAATCGCTTCGTCTCCCTCCTCCATCTCCATTCTTTCATAGACCTGCAGAAGAGCCTTAATCACTTCATGATGATTATCATTTATTACAAGAAACTAGCCCCGTGATGCGTGAGAACCTGGCACGTGTTGGTGTCGAAATGATGACCTACATGACCGCTACCCTGCGTCATTGCTGTTGGACTCCATCTCACCGAGAAATAGCTTTGCAGCGTAGGAAGAGTACTGCTACGAAAGGAACACTGCGGACGGCGAGAAGTAGCCGCACCGAATAAATTATACAAAATCTTTCTAAACCGCGCTCTCGGAAAAGAGTTGATAGATATATATGTTAAAATACGAGATCCTATGGTAAAATAATTATCATGACTCAATTTGATGTTCAACCTGTGGAAAACCTAAAAAGTTTAATGCAAATTAAGAAGACAATATTCTTCAAATGTATTCCAGCCTATACCTATAAAAATCAATCCGGATTACCTCAAAGCTTCTCACTTGAAGACGAAGTATGGGTGGCTCCCTAGTTTTTTATATTAAGATGGGGAGAAGGCTCAAAAAGGACACTAAAGTTATTTATGAAGTTCGTATTAGATACTAACCTTTTAAGTAGACCAAATTAATACATAAACAACTTATTTGGATTATATTTGGCCACCCACTCACATTTCCGTTCAACTCAACGTTAAATGCCCAGGCCTCCACCTTCAATCTCCTCGTCGGCTTGGCAACGCCATCCCCAAATTCTTAGCCCCGCTTCTATATATCAGCCCCCGCCGTCAAGAAACCCCTCTTCTTCAATTTGCATCTAAACTCTGCTCCGCAGAGCCCTCCAAGTGGTCTCAATCACCTTCTCCACCCATGTCTCCTAAAAATCTCTGCTTGCGGATCCCAATAGTGAAACTACATCGACATCTGATCTAGTAATTGGAAGAAGCTATGATTTACTATCGAAATTAATTATTAGGGCTTCACTTCACTGAGAAATGTCCAATCTCTTTTTTTAGTTCTTATAGAAAAACCAATTTGTTATACTATTACGAAGTGTCATATAGAACCAGGTTTCATTTTCGTTCTTCTACTAAGCAAAATTCAGTCCAACAAATTGTTATTTCAAAACCACGATTGACATTTGTTTGAATTAATTAAAAAATCAGAAGGAATGGGACATCAGGGTCCTCGCATGTCGCTTTGCAAGTGGTGAGTATTACAAGTGGCGGGAGTCAAAATAAGATTTTGGGCTATATTTGGTGGAGGAGGTATATTTGCTGGGTTTGGGTTTTCAAAGGAGTGGGCGGCTATGGCGGTGAGAAGAAAGGGGTATAGCGACAGAGAAGAAACGGGACGGAGCTGGTACTAACCTTATAATTGACGGAGGGAAGCCGTTAATTCAAGGTTGACGTTAGCGGTGTCCAAATGTGATGCAAAAACTTAAAGTTTGTGTTAATTTGGTCTACACAGAAGCTTAATGTCCAATATGAGTTTAGTAAATAACCTTGATGTCAATTTTGGCCCTTCTCCCTATTATGAGTTTAGTAAAGATGTAAAAAGTTTACACAGTAACATAAAATGCCAACCCCATTACTTGACAAATAATATGTAAAGCTCTAAGGAGTGCAAAAAAAAAAATTACAAACACTACGTAACAGAAAACAAATTACCAAAAATATTTGAATACATGCAAAATGTAAGTGCTAACAAACACTCGTCAAATTGAAGAGATGTGACGTATTCAAGAGGGCCCCAACAAAACTAATCATATTATATGCAAACCGTGTGTACAAACATGGGTGTAGTAATAGGTGAAGTAAAAATTGCAGAGTAACTATTTCATATTAAAAAAGATGATAATTTGAAAGAAAACTTAAAAGAAATGAAAACAAAACACTTATGAAATTACATATGGAGTAGCCTCTCCGTCTAGTAACATGGCTCCTCTAACCCCACGAGGTAATTGATTTTTCACACGAAAGAGAATAACATTGTCCTTCATATAATGCAATTTTGCAATAAGATAAGATGCCTTGTTCACTTGGTAAAGAAATAAATGTCCTTTTTAACTCTCTTGATTTGTTCCTCTGATCTTCAGCATTTCGGTACAACTTACCTCTGATGCAATCTAGCAATGCTTTGGGCGAAACATCAACTTCTAGGCTGTTATAACCTAAAGTATCTACTCAGGTTAGGGCAACCATTAACATTTAAGTATGGTCCAAAGTGCCCCATAAACGATAATAGGGGCCTGCATGAACAAAATCTCCATGATGATCCCCGACCAAGAAGCCTCCTACTGTCCTTCCGGAGTTTCTAACAATGGACTAGTTTAGCTACATTGGATCAACTCGTGGGTCTAGAAAGAGTTTCAAAGTATATATAAACTCCTAAACTTCATCCTCAATTTCTCATTGTAAGTGCATTAAATTTCTTTTTATTATATCTAAAACATACTCTTATTTCATAAGTGCGACACATGCCTTCATTTGGTTATTCTAAATTTTACATACACTTCCACATTTATGAAACTTTAAATTATTCTCTCTTAAACACATATGTATCATGTATAGTGACAAGTTTTTTTTTACGAGTATGAGGTGCTACTTTTTTAGTTCATGGATGATGGATGAGGTCTAACATCATAGCTACATTTTCAAATTTGATGCTATTTAATTAGTGAAGTTGTGTTCTATTTTATATATAGAATTGACGTGGGACATTTTGTTACCTAATTCATTTTTTTATACTTTTACTATATATTATGGAAACAATTATATCTATTTAGGTGCTGTTCTGTTCGTCTTATTCTTATTACTTATTGCTTATTCTTATTTTATTCAGATCAGATCAGATCACATCAGAAAGATTCAGATCAGATCAGAATCATTCATACCAGATCAGAAAGATTCAGATCAGATCAGAAAGATTCAGATCAGATCAGAAAATTTCAAACATGATTTATCACTTTTATTATTATAAAATAATAATAATAATAATAATTATTATTATTATTATTATTATTGTTATTGTTATTGTTATTGTTATTGTTAATAATAATAATAATAATAATAATAATAATAATAATATTACTCCATATTATTATAATTATTATTGTTATAATTATTATTATTATTATTATTATTATTATTATTATTTATTTACTTTTATTATTATACAGAGTAATTAAAATTATAATTACAATTGTAATAATAGAAATAATTATAATTAAAAATATAATTACAATTATAATTATAGTTATAATTAAAATCAGTGTAGTAGGTATAATTTTTCATAACTTTAATTATAATTATAATTATGATTATCATTATAATTAAATATTTTAAGAATTATGACTATAATTATAAATTATATTTAAATTATATTTATAATTACATTTATAATTATAATAATTATAATTATAATTAAATAAATATTCAGATCAGATCAGAAAGATTCAGACCAGATCAGAAAGATTCAGATCAGACCAGATCAGAAAGATTCAGATCAGATCAGAAAGATTCAGATCAGATCAGACCAGATCAGAAAGATTCAGATCAGATCAGATCAGAAAAATTCAGATCAGATCAGAACTTAATAAATTCAGATCAGAAACATTCAGATCAGACGAAGAGAACAGCTTCTTAGTTTGAGAATGTTATTACTTACTAACTACTTTGCTAGCATAGTGATGTTTTTTAAAAAAAATCTTTGAGGAGACACTAGTCCAATATAACTCGAAATCCTTATTTCGAATTGGGTCTATTAATGTTCAATATATATGTTAATGATCTATATCGCTTAGATGTGTGACCTTGTAGGTTTATATATCGATGGTAGCGGACCAGATAATTATTTCGAGCTCACAAGTCTTAAGCGGTCTCTAGCAAGACATTATGGATATCCAATTTATATAAACGGCTATCAAATCTAACGAAGCCTAGCTATTTAAGTATTTATCATACTATTAATTCTCTTTTGTCAAATGATATATCAATTGAGACAAGGTTAAGACCATGTAATCCTTGCATTTCTCAATTATTGTTTCTTGAATTCCATGTAAGGTTAATCTTGATAAGTGACACATTACTTGTACATGACCATGCTAAAAGATCAAAACTGTCAAGGGCCCCAATAGATATCATGCTCGCGAAAAACGAGAGTGACAAAAAACATCTTGAGTATTCACCTCTACAAGGCTCATAGTATGCCCAAGCACCATCTCTATAATTACCCATTTAATGGTAATGTTAAATGATGCTAAAACGTATTAAATTCCGTGTTGAAAACTATATAACCCTTACATTATCCTCTAAATGGGGTCTGCCCAATGAACTTATTCTCCAACAAGTATTCATTGATTAGCCCGATATTTCTATACCTATAACTAGTGGAATATAGCCATTAGCTAATCCACATATTCATCTATTAATTTATAATGTCTCATATTTATTATATCAAATCAGGGACTAGTTAGAATATAATGCTTACGATTGGCCTCGACTTCACTGGCTCTTTGATTGTTAAATCCTTGGATCAGATATGTGAGGACTTATATATGCCTCGACTTTATATGTGAGGGCCTACAATTGGCCCCGACTTATGGGAGAAAGGGCTTATAAATGCCTTGGCTTTGGTTGTAAGGACTTATGATCGGCCTCGGCTTTGGTTGGCTCCTTAGTTGTAAATCTTTGGATCATATGTGTGACAGCTTATATATACCTTTTATTTTGGGAGTTGAGACAAACAAATGACAAGTAGAAGTGTAGTAGAAAGAGCATTAGTGATATATAAATGATTTATGTACAGACTCTTGTTGAAGTGGCTAAAAATGTCTTCGAATGTAACATGTTGTCAATAAGCATGTTCTCCAAGAGATGAGAGTGTTTCCCTTTAACATACTCCTGAAGTCATTGGTGGTACTTCTCCAAGTGATGGATATTCCATAATTTAGATATCTCTGAGCCTTTTGGAGTCTACCATTTGTAGGCGTCATGCCCAACCATTATCAAGATGATGTATGGGCCTTCAAACCCTTGGACATCCTCCCGCCCTCTGTTGGTTGGCTGGGAGTCCACCGTATGAGGACGTAGTCCCCCGCTTTGAATTTTGCTAACTCAAAATTTGGTGTATTCATAACCCTTGACCTGACGCATGTAGTGTTTTTAGTTGGATGAAAGCAGTTTGTCTAAACTTGTCGATGAAGTTGAGGTCAATCATCATGCTCTCTTCATTTTGATCTGCCTCATAGTCTTCAACTCTCCTAGTAAGTGAGTGATCTCAGTATGGGACATGACTTTGAAGTCGTAGCAAAGTAAATTGGAGTCTCACTCATGGAATTCCTCGAAGTGGTTCTATATGCCCAAAGTATGTTGGACAGTTCTTCGAACCATCTTCCATCTTCGATAGTGAGCTTCTTCTTGAATTCTTTGAGGATGGTTCGGTTCACATTCTCGACTTAGCTGTTTGTTGTGTATAAGAAAAACTGAGGTCGTGATG